CCTGACTGAACCTTTTTTTTTTTTTTTGAAAAAAACGAAAAAAAAAACTGGCACCCGTTTGGCCATAAATTTTGGATACATATTTTGAAAACACTGTTTGTTCATGGAACATGATCAGTTTTTAAAAAATAATTTATTTATTTTTCAAGTTCCTAAAGAGAGCAATTTTTGGGTGAAATTTTTTCTTATGCTCACGTATTTTTAAGTTTTTTTCAAATAAAATGCATGTTCAAACACAATTGTTTTTCAACATAACTTCAAAAACTCTTTTCGCAAATTTCAACCAAATTTATATGCAGACGTTAGCTTAAAATTATTTTGTCATTTATTTGTTATTTTTCAGAATTTGTTTAGTAATCTAATCAAATGAAAAGAACTTTGTTCTTTATAGAGAGAAACTGAATAAATAAAAACAAAATTATCTTAAAGAATTCACTATATTTTTATAAGTAATATTTTTCATTGGTTGATTACTTGATATATAAAGTTATCTGATACTTTATTCGTAGGAGATAGTAAACATCCCGCAAAATTAATTAAGATGCGTGCAAGTTAAACCTTAATAATCATATAAATAATTTTTCAGCATTATTAAATAAAATTAATTTCTACGAGCTAAATTTGACACCTATATTACCAGGATATGTTGTGGTGGAGCAGAGGTACATGGACTCAAAGCTACAGCCAGCGAACGATGATCATCCATCACATGATGTATATCAAGGACAAATGTTCGTGAAGGAGGTGTACGAAACCTTAAGGGCGAGCCCACAGTGGAACCAAACCCTTCTCGTGATCACGTACGACGAGCACGGAGGGTTCTTCGATCATGTCCCTACACCTGTCAGTGGGGTCCCTAACCCTGATGGAATCATAGGAGAACCGTTCGATTTCAAGTTTGATAGATTGGGTGTTAGAGTTCCTACTATTATGATCTCTCCTTGGATCGAAAAGGGCACAGGTATGAACACCTTTAACCTGTTCCCATATATTTGTCTAATTTTTACGCACTGATAATTTAAAAGAACTAGTCTTAGGATACGCGCTTCGCGAATTGCGCGTATACCTATATCAATTAATACATAATTATAAAAATTAGATCAATATTATTAAATAATATATTTGTATTATGAGCCGAGGGTCTCCTGAAAACAGTCTCTCTACTCTTCGGGGTAGGGGTAAGGTCTGCGTACATATTACCCTCCCCAGACCCCACTTGTGGGAGTATACTGGGTCGTTGTTGTTGTTATATTTGTATTATGAGCCGAGGGTCTCCTGAAAACAGTCTCTCTACTCTTCGGGGTAGGGGTAAGGTCTGCGTACATATTACCCTCCCCAGACCCCACTTGTGGGAGTATACTGGGTCGTTGTTGTTGTTATATTTGTATTATGAAAAAAGTTAAAGTTCCTAAAAATGAATGTTGGTCCTTAGCTAGTTTAACGAAGGAAGAAATTATGTCCCGCAAAGGTTCTCTGATACTTTATTATGATTTGCGAAAACTTTTATGAGAGTATCTTGTGAAAATTATTATTTGTATGATTTAATACTAAAAATAAAAAAGTAACACAAAAATATTTTTATCACAATTCTTCATAAATTTGTCAAATAACACACACACAAAAAAAGGATTGAATCATTTCCATGCCGAAATATTACAAGTAGGCCATCACACGGAAAACTATAACCGAAATCTTTTTTATCTGGCATTAATTTCGGCCCTTTAGAGATTTGAAGGAAGAAGTTGGCTATGTAGTTCCTAGAAAGAAATTGTTGAGTGACAATGCAAGCTAAGGGATCTTTACACGAATAGCCGGCTATATTAATTATTTACTTTTTTTAGTTATATATATAGATTATATGTTGATTACACATATAATGCATAAATTATGCATATATTATACATATATTATATATTTACCGACTATTTTTAGTTTAAGTGATAGGGTGAGTGACTATTTGGGTTAATTCTTCAACTCTTAAAAGTGACTAATATCAGTTAATATTGTGCGATAAATAACTTAATATTTATAAATAAAAAAAATATAGAAAATTATCACTTTTTGGAAGTGAATGCAAAGAGAGAGAAAAAATTATGAAAATTTAAATAAGAACAAATAGAGTTGTGATTAATACCTAAAATCATTTAGTAAAAAATTTCTACTGTGTTACATTTACAAGATAGTTATGGGTTTTGTTTTCGAACGAAGAGGAAAATTGTGACATAATTTTATTCGAGTTCTAATTGATGTCTAACTTGAAGACCTTAACATTCTAAATAATTCATGTTTAGCGATTTATATAAAGTAAATATTTATTGATGTTATAATCTTAAATATTAGGAACTAATTCAAGTAAGAAATAATGTAATAAGCAAAATTTTAATTGATTTTAAGCTTTTAAATATTAGAAAAATAATTCAAAGTTACTTTTGTTCAATGTGAAATTTATTTTAAAAGTGTAAAAAAAGTGAACGACATTTCGATAGGGACTTCGTGCTTTGACATACTTCAATTTATCAATGTTTCAAATATTTATATAAGTAGAATTAAACTTTTGAAATTAAGATTTAACTTAATTTATTGTGCTTAAAGTGATGATCCTACTAAACAAAGAGGAGTATATAAAATTGACTAAATATCAAGTAACTATGTCTGGCAATTATGTGCTACTGTCATTCTACTATGTAGTTTTAAGTCGTTTTAATAAACAAAATCTGGTATATTTCACATTGTAAATTGAAAAAAAGGCATATATATTGCTGCAAAACATAGATTCTGAGGAGTGAGGAACACAAAATAAAATTAAAAATAAAAATTTATTAAAACTATGTGTTGCCATGGGCGATGCTACCCTTCATCGGAAAATTACACTGCGTATATAGGTAAAATATTACATTTTAGAGGTATATAATATATATTGAACACTCTTTCTCGGAGATTTTTTTCACTTCTTTCAAGTTTGAACACCCTTGAGTAAATTCCTGGCTTCGCCAATGCAGTATTGCTGTGTTCGCTTCGATGAAATCCCAAAGTTTCTAACAACTCAGAACACCATAATCTAAAATATAGAAGAAGCATAAGGATTAGATAGTAACTTACAAAACCCTATGACAATTTTCTTTCGTTGATTTTTGCACTTGATGATCTTCATGAGTTCATCCAAACAATTTGAATCAGAAAACATAGCTTTTTGAATTTTCTATTTAGATTGTCGTTTTTTACTGAATAATAATGTATGTACTTGAATTCAAGTTTTAAAGGAACAAAATCATAATTGAATAACTTGAATTCAAAATTTTAGTTATTAGGCAATAATTATTTTCCTAATATTTAGGAAAAAATTAACTTTGGTTATTAGATCTTCCCCTACGTAGGAAATCCTAAATATTAGGAAAATAGTTAAATGTCTATTTTGTCCAGTGTGAAGTCAAATTATAAAGGGTAAAAAAGGCGAACAATATTTCGCTAAGGGCGTTCGTGCTTTTAATTTAGTATAGAAGATATAGATGTAGATAGGTTAGAATATAACAATAAATAACTATATTCTTAATAAGTGAAATTTGTAAAAAAGCAAAAAACACAAATAACATGTTTGAAAAGTTAAATTACACAATTAGTGTAAATGTTATTTAAGTTGTCTCGTATATAAGTTAAATATGAAGAAAATGATAGGATTCAAAGAACGTTAATCGATTGATTTAGTTTTCAATGTGAATTCTATTTCTAATTTCTTATTTTTGTAAATAAAATACTCCCTTGTTTTTAATTTGTGTCTTACTTTCACTTTAATTTGTTGAAAAAATTAACATCATCTAGTAAATTTTTTAATTTCAATATTTTGTTATATTCTCAATGGTTTCTCTTATAGGGATGACATGACATGCTTAAAATCATATATTCAAAGAGTAATTTTTGGTATGTTAGACATACCTTTAGCATAAGACCATAAGATTCAAAAAAATTATTATGTTCTTAAATTTTGTGTTGATTCAAACTAAACGACATAAGATAAAATAAAGATATATATCATAATTTTCATTCTTAAAATTAATTAATTTAGTTGTAAAGAGTCTAATGACAATTATTAGATGCTTAGCACTTACCTAAATATGATGTTGTATCAAATTAATAATTGCATGATATGTATTTTTTAATATAATTTTATCACTTAATTATAATAAATTAACATAATTTGTCGCATGCACTATATTAAAATATAATTTCCTAGTTAGACATAATTTATAGTCATTTCAAGTACTGTCGACTTAAATATAAAATTTAAAAAAAAAAAAAAAAAA